CAAGTACCAATGTGACTTTTTCCGAGTTATATGGACTTTCTACTTTCTAAGATTATTCAGACACCACTGACAAACGGTGAAGGAAAACATCGTGAGGAAACCTATGCTTATAATTTCTAATTATAGGTTTGAAATCGCCAATCTGCATTAAGCAAGCGTGGTGATAAATGCTCAAACTTTCTCCGTGTAAGAAGAGGCCTTTGCTCAGTAGTGGGCATTTATAGGCTGTTGATGTGGATGCGATGGGTGTAAAATTTTCCATAACAATGAATCAACATAAACCGAAGTTACACGGTAAATAGTTGTTTAAACAAAATATTTATAACTTCAAGCCGTTGTAGCTAAACATGGGATTAGCAGGCCATGTTCAGAGTGGAAGATTTGTGTTAATTGGACCATGTTTAATATTGGGAAACTTGCTAGTTCCGTTCTTTTGCAAATATATGTCAAATAGCCAGATGTGTAGGAAAATTAATAGTTTTATTTTATTTTATAGATCTTATGTTTAACTGATTTGTTTGTCAAGTGGTTACAAGCGCAACTGTTGAGCAAGGGAGATTCGGGTTTTATTTCCTATTCAAGCTCTCGAGGACGAGAAAACTGAATATACTTAAACATTCGATATTGAGTATTTTCAGTTTTCTGAAAATTCGTCAATGAGAGAATGAGTTTAGAATACCCATATACCCCTTATAACACATACGGAGTAGCGGAGAACGTAACGGGTTACCGGGGCTCCGGCTCGAAGTGCAGGAGTAGGAACGGGGTGGTATTTAGTCAGTAAGAGTCTGACACTCAATACCGCCTCAACCAGGCGGGAGCAGTCATTCGATGATTTTCCCACCTTAAAAAAACCCTTATAACACACACCTCATAAAGTACATTATTGATGAAAAATGGATGTAACATTGTATACATAATGCGACTGTCTGCCTATCCCTTCGAAGGTTAAAGGGTGCGATTTCATGTATAGTACTGTACCTCTGTTTCCCCCTTCACCAAATTACAAACTTGATATTATGTATCAATCCAATCAAATCATAACCAACCCTAATAACAGCACAAATATAAAAAAATATAGTCAAATAAACGTAGTCAAGGTTTTAGTAGCCACTGAACTCCATATCGACCTTATTACGGGTAGTAATAAGACCTATCTAGACCTAGATATAGGTATTCTAGGTAGTTAGGTATTCTGGGAAGGTTGGTGGTGGTCGTAAAGTAAGATTGGAAGTAGTGTAGCCACGAATAAGCTGGACAAATAGAGGCTTGGAGGACCTAATAGATGGAGTAGGAACTAGTTATTGCTGTGGGATATCGTTGTTGCGATTCAAGTTGGATTGTCTTTATAGCATATCTTTTTAAAAGTCGACCATGTTGACTGTATGGTAGGAGAAGTCGCTAAGCAATTGATTCACAATGTGTCACGGGTTGAACGTTGAAATAATAATCCTTACTTATATTATAAATCGGAAAATGAGTTTGTTTGTTTGTTCCACTTTAACGCCGTAACTACTAAACCGATTGCTTTGAAATTTTGCAGACGTAAAGTTAGAAGTCCGGATTAAATAATAGGGTACTTTTTATCCCGGAAAAATTGATATTCCAGAGAAAAAACAAAAGTATTGGAATAGATGGCGCTGTGTGTATTGGTATATGTCACATTGGCTTTTATCCTTTTGTGACGCGAGCGAAGGCGCGGGTAAAAGCTAGTGCTTTTATAAACTACGGTTAACAAAACTAAATTCAAACTCCCTCTTTTTTTGAAGTAGGTAATATTAATAAACCAAAATCTTCTTCTAAGTGTAACAAATACTTTTCTAAAAACCGCATCAAAATCGTTTCAAACACTATAAGTACCCTACCTACTTTGAAAAATTACTTCGCACAGTGGCACAGAACATTTATTTATGTCTAAGATAAAATCTCATTTTTAAAACTAATTACTTAGTTTACTGGAAAATTCTTCACTAAATCCATGTCCCATCCAAAAGCCAAAAGTAGCGTATATAGCAACCCTAGAGGGTGACGTCACGCCACGTAGCTACGACAGTTGACTGTTGACTCTTGTACCCCCGCACCCCTCATCCATGGCCCCCCTGGAGTGGCCTTGGCTTTGGGCGTACTCCAACGTGTAGATAGTTTATGGAGTGAAAGGTAGGTAGAATAGTTAGGTGGTTTGGTACGAATAAAAAGCTAACGACGTGAAAGATCCTAGATCCTACTTAGACCTTTATCCGTGGCTGTACACAAAGTTGTAGTTGGTAAATGATAATGTTTTTAGTTTCTACAACATTACCTTGCAGTGTCAGTTAGATATTTCATTTCCTTCTTTTCACAACAAACATCGTAATATGAGGATAAATAGTCAACGACCCATGTCTACTCAAGCTCAAGAGAACGTATCACTGAATCATGTTTTATAAACACTAACTTCAATATCCAACTAAGTTCTGCTTATGGAATAAAATTTTGCGTGGCTCGGTGATATCAAACCTTCTAAGGCTGCGTTTCCACCAGAGATGTGCGATGGAAATATGTTGTGCGAGGAAGACATCCTCGACACATGCGAGGATTTCACAGCTGTGAAAATGTGTAATTTGCTGTTCTCACCAGGCATGGGTTGACCGAGGCGAAGTAAATGAAGCGATTCTACTGGTTCTTTACAAACATATCCCTCGTAATACATTCTTGCATATAAAAGCATAACGCATTCTTGGTGGAAACGCAGCCATACTCAGCAGACGCACTCTTCAGCCACAGCCAGAAACAGCTTGCTGGAGCTTCCTCTACATATGAGGGTTTGTCAGAATCTCTTCGTTTGGCAGGCAGTTTGCAGTCTCTAACAAATAAGCGGTGTTATTTCAAATGAAGTACATAATTATAAAAGTTTCGTTAATTCACCGAGGGAAATGGAAACTATTGTTTTTTTCTTCTCCTCTTATAATATCCTAACCTATCCTGGCTTATTTCGTTGCGGTATCCAAGACAGTTATTTATGTCCCTAGGACGCGCCTAAATTCAGTCATTCGGTGTTTTCGTGGTTGTATCTGTTTATCCTGGCTTACAGGAGTTGCAGCGGTTTTGGGAGGTTGAGTGATTAAAAAAAAATTAAAGTTTCATTACAGAATTTGCATTGATTTTCCCAAAATTGTGTTAATTTAAACTGTCAAACACCGCGAGGACACCGGTGACCGCAACCTATTGTTCTTTAATTGTATCTATAATGACGGTACTCAAAGGGTTAATATGTTACTTAGGCACTGTAGTTGTATTTTATGATGTAATATTTTATTTATAGTGAGTAAGGAGTACGAGGAGGTTCCAAGCAACAAGTGCCTCTAAGGTCACTCGGGGGTGGGTTGTGCCACATGTTGAACTGTTGGCTGGCACACTGCCAGGTACAAGGTTCATAGCCCCGCCTCCGGGCATAGGGACCAGCAACAAGTGAGATTTGTGATAACTTCATAGATCACATAACATAACATAACATCACCTCTTTGGGTAGGCAGAGGTGTACATTATGCCACTGTGCAATGTACCACTTTTCACTATTTATGTATGTATGAGTCCCATGTAATAGGGGGTGAGCCTATTGCCATATACCGGGAACAATTTTAGACACCGTGCTACTACTGAGAATTTATAAAAAACCCAGTAATACTTTGCCCGACCCGGGAATCGACCCCGAGACCCTTTGCCCGGCAGATTATTCAGGTAGATATATACTAAGTCTAGTTTGTATGTCCGATCCTTAATGGTATAGCGTGATGTTGATATGTGAATGATATGGGCACCAATTTTGAAATGGTTTTATTTTATTTCTTAATATTAACGTATTCAAACAAACAATAGATTCAAGCTGACTATATTAAAATACACTCTATATTTCTTCCTCTTCAAAAATATTAACTGTAATGATAATATTACAATGGTTATTTAAGTGTAAGTTACAATGACAGAACTATAATAAAAACAAATAAAAATATTCTGATTCTGATTCTGATTCTGATTCTGAAAAATACTAAATCATTTAAGTTTTTCAGTTAATCGAGGAAAGTTCTGCATTTTCACTTAAGTTATTAAGAACCACTTCACTGAAAACAGGTAAGTAATACAGTGAGGTAAATTTTTCATAACGATGAGGAAATCCCTGAAAAATATGCAAGAGTTATTGTTTACTGAAGCGGAAGTCTGTGAAGGTTTTAATAATTAGTGCCATCTCTTTATTTATAGCAAAATTATTAATTAATAAGGGTATTAATTACATAAACTTTATTTAGGTATTAACATCTCAGAAAACTAATACAAGATGTTTTTGATTCAGTTTTATAAACAAATGAACTAGCATTTTCTTTTCATATATCTTACAATAAATAAGTACGTATCTTTGCCATCCTTTCAAAAGTTAAAAAGAAATTAAGTAATGTAAATATTGCGACGGTTAAATAAATATTATACAGTACATATTTAAGCAATCAAATAATGTTTATAAATATTTTAAAAAATCTTTATCTAATTGATACTTTCATTTCTAACCAGCTAAATAAAAAACTGTTGCCTTAAACCCTACCAAAACTTATTAATTAATCACCAAAATAAATTAATCACCAATAAATATAATTGATCAGAAAACAATAAAACGCTATGAGAAAAGCGCATCCAATACCGGGGTTTACCGGCCGCAGTACAATCACTGTGTTTCAGCACTTCAGTAGTGTACAGTCTGTTGTTCAGCCGTTTGTTCAGTACCGAACTGAACACGAAACAGGACGGTCGCACCGCCACAAATGCCGCCAACCTACCGCTCACGAGTAAAATTAAAAATAATATACTAAGAACTACCTATTCCCACCCAACAAATGGGATAAATTCAATCGGTGATTCTCATGTGGTGATTAAAAACAATCTGTGGTGTTATTCGGTGATTAATTTGTCGTAAAAACGATTTTTAATTTTTTGTGTGATATTAGTTTTTAGGAACTTTTTTTTATTGTTAACGTTTTACTTTAGTGTTTTTTTTATTATTTTTGTTTTCTAATTAAGTGGACAATTTTTAATTGCTATGGAGGAGCACGGAGGTGAGTTTTAAAAATATTTTTTTTTATTTCTTCGAGAAATTGATGACGATAATTTTATCTCCTTGACGTCCTTTACCTCTATCGTTGCATTTACTTATATTTTCCCAACATAATTTATGACATTTTTAATTTTTCCTCTCAACAATATTTCCCTTCGCATTGACCTACGTCTTGTAAAATGGCAGTTCGTCTATGACGTCATAGCTTAGTAAATTGATTAAGGAATCTAGGGGACACTCCCTTAACAAGCAATCTTTTAGTATAATAGCTTTTGTCTTAATGGATATAAAGGTCAATATTAAATGCACATCTATTTATATCCACATAAAAGTTCCATTTAATTAACTGTTATTGCGTGAAATATGTTTCATCGATAGAACAGTATGTTAGTATACATTTCGGTAATATATTCCTAAATTACTATACATATTTTGTATTTAAGAATAAGGAATATTTTAAAATTTTTGTAATAAATTTTAACCTGTTTTAGTATTTACAGATAAAACTATAACCTATCTAATTGGATGATAAAAAGTATCTTTATAATTAACGAGAGGTCACAATTACCTATAGGTATTTATAATTAAATAATTTATTATCTTTCTCTTGTATAGAGAAGTGGATTTTGTCCCCTTTATATTTTCATTGTTACTTGTTTGTTTATCGAGCGCTGTTTTTTTCCTGGTGGGGTGGGCAGACATCCAAGTATTATTAACCTTTGGCACGATACTGGTTGGAGACGATGGGCACTTGTATTGCGTGGTATGTTGTCAATGGATGATCGTAATGCTTTCTGAAATATTTGGTTGTAAAGGGGGCAGTTAGACTTTATTTTTTATGGCATAAGCCGGTAAACGAGCAGACGGATCACCTGATGGTAAGCAATCGGCGTCGCCCATGGACATCTGGAACACCAGAGGCGTTACAAGTGCGTTACCGGCCTATTGAGGATTAGGAGTTTGAGGATCGTTGGTGATTCAGGGATTGGGGAGATTGAGGAAGGGGAGGATAATTAGGCCTCTGGTAACTTCACTCACACGACGAAACACAACCCAAGCGTTGCTTCACGTCGATTTTCTATGAAGCCGTGGTATCACTCCGGTCGAGCCGGCCCATTCGTGCCGAAGCATGGCTCTCCCACACTAGAAACTTGGAGTATTAGAGTCAATTTTATTGAAGTTTTCGTCGCTTTAAAATGTATAGATTAGAAATATAATATCGACCAGATTGGCAATATATTAAAGAAGGGCAAAATAAAGTACCTATATGCATACGTAAAAAGACTGATGACTGTTGATGAAGCGAAAAGATAATCTCTGCCTACCTATGGGAGACAAGCGTGATGTCACATATATAATGTATGTAGAAATACAAAGTCCAAAAATGTGTGATTTTCATGTGTGAAATTTTAAACACAGTAATCGCATGAAGTCTGGAATTTTGTCTAGTGTAGGGCAATAGGCTCACCTCCTATTACATAGGACTTATATCATGACTGCTGAGCCTGTTATGAGAGCTATAATCGAGACACATAAATATATATATATATAGTATCCATAAAGAAAGAAAGAAAGAAAATACATTTATTCAGCATCACAATAATAACATATAACATAAACAGCATCACGCCCTTTATCCCTGAAGGGGTAAGCAGAGGTGCACAGTATGGCAATTAATGACACTGTATTGATGGCAATAGGCTCACCACCTATTAGAAGGACTACCCCAGTATATAGATACCGGGCACAATTCCAAACTCCGTGCTACTACTGAGAATTTTATTTTAAAAATCCCAGTAAACATTGCCCGGGAATCAAAACCGAGACACCTTGCCCGGCAGTCGCACTTGCGACCACTCGGCCAACGAGGCTGCTATTCATTACATAACAATTTAAAAAAATGAAATGGAGGAATCTGATTAACAAAACTGCTTACCTCATAAAGGAAACACAGTCGATAGCATTTATTTTCCTTATCAATATTAATTCATGAATTGATTTGCTTCGGGAAAATGAAAACACTTCAAAACTAATTGTAATGGCTGAAAAAAAACTTTAATATTTGCTGGAGACCAGTTACAATATACTCATCATCATCATCATCAGCCACTCATCACAGTCCACTCAGTGACAAAGTCAAAGTCAATAATTTATTTCAATTAGGACCAGTAAGGCACTTTTGAACGTCAACATCAAAATATTGAAAGATTAAAAAAAAGTCAGTCTATCGGTCAGTCCTCTAGTGAAGCTATTTGCTCATTCCAAGGCGTAGATTCCTATGGAGAAGAACGAGCAAGAAACTCCATAGGTTACATTTCTTGGTTACAATGTTCCGTTGGTTCAATTACCTCCTCTACCTAACCTACCCCAATCAAGAGGCATTTGTTTAAAATATTTTTTTTGACCTTACATATCTGTAAGTTCCAATTCAATCAAGGCGGGCACAGTGATATAGGTATAACTAAAAAAAAAGTAAGTAAGGAAAACCTTAACAATGAACAAGGAATAAACTAGAAAAATATTATTTATTTATGAGGCAACAGAGAATAAACAGTACTGCACACTTAAATTTTTAGATGTAAAATCAGTATCGGTGTGGGAGAGCGATGCTTCGGCACGAATGGGCCGGCTCGAACGCAGTGATACCACGGCTTCACAGAAAATCGACGTGAAACAACACTTGTGTTTCATCTTGTAAGTGACGTCACTGGAGGCCCAATTACCCCCCTCCCTTATCTCCCCAATCCCCGAATCCGCAAACTCCTAATCCCTAAAAGACTGTAAAGCACTTGTAACACCTCTGGTCTTTCGGGTGTCCGGCGCCGATTGCTAACCATCAGGTGATCCGTTTGCTCGTTTACCGGATTATTCCATAAAAAAAGTATATGTGGACCAGTGCATTGGCATGAAACTTCATGCTTTTTGCAAGAACGAATCACAAAAATCTCAATAACGTGCTAAAAACTGACGATCTGTCACAACTTTTCTACAAAACGACTTATCAGAATTACGTGTGACTTTCATCCACTACTTTATCCGAATATTAGCTGTAATTAAGTCATCGCTCCTATGTCCGGACACTTGATATTAGGCGCTAGGGTTATAGACACTATTGACAGCATTTTGAATATAGATAACTTAATTACTTAATTATTTGATAAAGGGCATAAGTATGTAAGAAATCGAGTGTAAGAGTGCGTTTGGTGCATCTAGGTAATCAACCTTGGTATCGTATTTGTTTTGACTGGCAAATCTAATAATATATAAACTGTATTACAAAACAAGACAAAGATTTAAGACAGAGGTGTAGTTATTCTATTGAGAATCGATGCCATTAACAAGAATTTAGCATTCACATTTCCCATACATAATAATATTATCACTAAATAGTACAAAACAAAGTCGCTATCCGCCGTCTGTCTATCCTTATGTATGCTTAGATTTTTAAAACTACGCAACGGATTTTGATGCGGTTTTTTTAATAGATAGAGTGTTTCTTAAGGAAGGTCTCTACAGGGTGTAAACGGAACGTTCCCGAAAAACGCCGACAGTTGATGGTGTAAAATAAGTTTTATTTTCATAAAAATAAGGAATTCAATGCGTATCCTATGTAATATAATAGTTGTAATTCACTTCTAAAGGCTGATGTTGCATGAATAACTCGAAAACAAGAACGATTAAAATTGTAAAAACAATTTATTTTTGTCAGCATTCGGGAGCGTTCCTTTTACACCCTGTATGCACACGGATTTTGCGCCCGTGCAAAGCCGGGGCGGGTTGCTATTATCTTATAAATATATATCTTGATACTTAAGTTCATAATAAAAACTAGTTGGTTCAAACCACAGAACATATAAAGAAACTAAGGATCAAATTCAAAGACTCCGTACCTTATACTAGTTCTCAGTAGCTTCGCTCTTGGCAAAACGGTCGTGGTCATGTTACGGAGTCCAAAGTGAGTTAAACCGGACACACCATCCGTCGTGATCTCTCAGCATCTCTCTCGGTTAGCAGATTGTTTGGTGCAAGCTGACAGGTCGAGTACCACACTGAATTTTAGTGTCTAAAATTTTAGTGTCTGTAGATAAAATAATATCATATAATAATAACATAACATCACGCCTTTGTTCCCCGAAGGTGTAGGCCGAGGTGCACATTATGCCAATGTAGGTACAATGTAACACCCACTTTTCACTATTTATGTTATGAGTCCCATGTAATAGAAGGTGAGTCTATTGCCATTTACCGGGCACAATTTCAGACTCCGTGCTACTACTGAGAATTATTTAAAAACCCAGTAATACTTTGCACGACCCGGCAGTCGACCAACGAGCCATTCATAACATAATAACGTATAAATTTCTCTAAAAGTCTATAATTGTTTCTGATAAGAAATTGAATTAAACCTTGATCGATCAACTTGGAAAGATGATAAAGATAATAGCTTTCGGAAGCAAAGGTATTTCCAGTTACGATAGTACTATACAATTCTATGACGTAACTCCATAATTGATTAAACAAATAAATAAGTGTTTCTCACTAAGGGTTCTCTGCCGCGTGCCAACACAAACAAACGGACTGAAGATCGGAACTACATTTATCACGATACAAATATTTATGCTCACACAGGATGTGAACTTGCGTACGTGAGCTGTGGATACCTTTTTTGGATCTATTAGGTATTGAGATTACTGGTTTTGGTATTTTCCTGGTTCGTATTAAAGTATGACCTATATAAATAACATAACATAACTTAACTTCACGCCTTTTATCCCCGAAGGGGTAGACAGAGTATTCATTATGCCACTGTACAATGTAACACCCACTTTTCACTATTTATGTTATGAGTCCTATGTAATAGGGGGTGAGCCAATTGCCATATACCGAGCATAATTAAAGACTCCGTGCTACTATAGTGATTTTTTTTAAAAACCCAGTAATACTTTGCCCGACCCGGGAATCGAATCCGAGACCCCTTGCCCGGCAGTCGCAACGTTAATT